TAATAACCATATCCCAAAAGGTTATCCTACCGAGAAGAAAAAATATCAATTAGTCGACTCTCCCATTTCTTAAAGAAAATTCTGGTGTTTATATCCGGATAAATTTCATTCGAGGAATTATTTTAAATAATAAATATTCATATTTTAATTAAAATTTGTATTCAATATTTGATAGTCTTGTAGTAAATAAAGATTAGTTTGTAATGAATGATTAACTTTGTAATGAAGGGCAAACATATGTTACAAGTTGAGAATAAACAAGGTAGAATGGAAAAACCTTCAGGCAATAATGTTTCTGCTGATGGTTGTTGAAGAAATCATGTATTATTTCTACATATACTTTTAGATTTTTCAGTATCTTTTAATGGAATGCTTTATTATTAATGGAAGCAGTTGATTACAACAATAATGCATAATTTAATATTTATCTTTTTACAAATTGTACCCCTTTAAAAATAACAGAAGATCCGCTCTATGAATAATTTGTTTTGGTATAAAGTGATTTTTTTTCAGAATTATAAATTAATGTAACTCGCAGTAAAACATGATTCGTGTTTTATTGAAGTGAATCTAATTTTTTTCTACTATCTCTTTCTTGCTCTCTTGTTCTCCTCTTGTAATGAAACTAATCTGCTGTTTTCCTTTAGGAATGGAGTTTGTTTTCTGTTTTCTACACTAAGATATATATACCTTGACATTATTTGCGAAAAGTGAGACTAATTGATGTGTTTGTTAAGATATTTTTTCGTACGTAAAACTAATTATTTGTTGCTATTTCTTAATGAATTATTTTATAAGAAATTTAATTGGTCATTGGAGCGAAACAAATTGGCTGTTTCGGTCTTTTGAGGCTTTTTCCAGCCTCTTATCGCAATAATGAAAGCTGCAAACGAACCTGACTAAAAGTAATTAACAGAGTTAAAAACGTATCATCCCAATAGACTCGAATTTGTTTATGTAAAGTTGCTTCCCTTTTGATAAGGATATCAGTTCGTGCAGTGGCTTGCACCTCTAAACACGCTCCTCCCTTCAAAACGGATGTCATTTGAAGAAACTTCTGCTATAGTTTCTTATATATCTTCGTGTAAATAAAATAAATTATCCAGTTTATTGCTAAATTAAGCATTTATATGACGAGAATAAACAGAATATTACAGAAAAATATTATAAATTATAGCATTATATTATGATGAAAGACGTACAGTACTTTATGTTATAGGATCATAAATTGCGCCTGTAAAGCTGCCCTTAAAGTGTGATATCTTCAAAGAAATATGAATCAGAAAAACTTTTTAAATGACTAAAATACAAATAATTTATTAAATAATATAAAATTCAATTTATGTTATTTAATAAATCATTTGTAATAATAATAAATAATTCAGCAATAAGCAATAAAATGAGAACGTTTTTCTCGATATACATAAGAATCTTTAATTTTATTTGTTGCGTTTACTGTTATTAGGTGAAGGATATGGGTTTCTTAACAGTGATTGGTCGCGTATATCAATTTGAATTTATTCGGCCAATCATAAAAAGAAACATGTTAGCAATGTCATTTAAACGATGATATCGTCTATATTTTATATCTCGCGTATATGGAAGAGGACCACGCACTGATATCAAATTTACCATTATTAAAATATTTATAAAGATAAGAATTCACTCCTCTAAAGAAAAGTTACATTAAGGATATGTTTTACAGATGAAAAGTAACATTATCTTTCAGTGAGAAACATCTTTACAGATGGAAGGTAACAAGATCTTTCCGATGAAGAACATCTTTTACAGTTGAAAAGTAACAGACAATACTTTTGGTGAAGAATCAATTTCTGTACAACAGGGGGAAAAATCCTGAAAAGGGAGCATTTATGGACAGAGAAACAGTATTTTTTTTAAAGAAAATCAGTTTCTGGATTAGAACAATGACACGGTTTGATTAAAAATATCTTTTTTTCTAATTAAAATTTCCATTTTTTCTATGGCATCCCTACGAGATAATTTTGATAACGAACTTCTCGATTGTTAGAGAACCACAAAAAAACCCCTGCAACTGCAATTTTTTTTTCATTTTATCAGCCAGAAAACGATGAGAATTCTAACAATAAATGGAAACTAATTAAAGTTTTAATGATGATTTATTTTACTATTAAAACTTAGACTTTATCTATAATTAAACTTATCTCTTGGAAAATATTTTATGCGTGATTATTTTTGATATTTAGAAAAATTCAGTGCTTTTGTTGGAAACTTATTGAAGATAATAATTGCTCGTGTAATGTTTATATAATTATGTAGCTGACATAAACCTAAAGTTGCATTTAATGAATCGCAATTTTACAAACTGTGATAATTAAGTGCGAAAAGTTAATGGCGATAAAAGACATTATCATTTTTCCACCATCTTTTATCATTGGAGATGATTGCAGTTAATTAAAACTTCAAGATACTACCTGGATTTAATTATGATGAATTGTGTTGGATTCTTCATCTTTCTTCCAACTGCAAAACAAAAATCTTACGTAAAGTTTAGTGGTAAAATTTATATTTTCTACAATTAAATTCCACTTGTTATTTTTATAGTTTAATAATTACTGTAGTAATTAATGCGCCAGCGCTTAGTAAAGCGTAAAAAATTTATATTTGTTACCTCTAAATCTCGGTGCTGAACTAGCATTAAGCATAAGTAAGCAGCTTAGTGGTATACAACAGTCTTTTATTTAAATTTACTGTTAAATTTGCTATGCTTTAGAGCATAAAGTAGCACTAAAGTATAAATCATGTATAAATATAAGTACTTATAAATTAGATTAGTCGGGGCTGCAAGCTATAAAGCTTTCTGGCAATCCAACTAATCTAATTTATGCACTAAGTATGAAGGTACTGTACTTACATTTATACTTGATTTACATTTTATCTAAGAGATGTCTTGCTTGCTTTATATACATTTCTGGTCGTGCCAAAATTATATTAATTTATGCAAAGTTCCGTGAAAGTTAAACCTTGACATTTGCTTACTTCTAAACTAAAAAAGTCCAACAACGAGTTGCGTAACTTTTTGGCAAAAAAGTTAAAATTGGTGCGGCGCCATCTGTTACAAGATTTTATTTTAAAATACTTTTTATATTGTTAATTATTATAAAATGGCAAAAAGTTTAGTTCTGTATGAAGAAATGAATTTTATAAAAAATATTTTAAATGCTAACGAGTAAAATCTTCATTAAGTCCTGCCCCACTCGAGATACGACACATGACCTACTTTTATCTCTTCACCTTTTCGACCTTACAACACCAAAATTTAACAGCATCAATGCCTCTAGTACACAAATCTCCCTGCAAAATTTCAGAAATTTTCAATTAAAGGATTAGAAGTTAATTAAGCTTCAAAGAGGATGGACAAAATCGTGCCCTCATACGCACAAATATCCATACATACAAAAACCCCTTCTAATGTTTTTTTTTTATTTCTCGACGTTTCAAGGTCCCTCGAGTCCCAAAAATGTAAAAGTTTTGGGAGTCATTACTTTAGGCTATATAACAGCCGGAAAAGTAATTTGTCTACACTTAAGGTAAAAAATTATATAATCTACACCTACAGTTTTCTAGGGTTTTCATATATATAAACTAAGAAAAATTTTAACATTTATAAAGCAATAAAACACAGTTTTCCTTACCCCGAATAGAGTTTCGAAACTATTAAGTACAGTTGAATTAACTTCAGCAGCGATTTTCGGTAAGGTTGAATGCGTGACTTTGTTAGAACTGTCAATAAAAATAATTGTTTAATAAACATTACTGTTGTAAAAGTTTCTATTGTTTAAAATAAACAAATGGCTTAGAAATTTCCAAATTATTTCGGAAAAAAAAAAATGTTGTCTGCTTTCATTATAAAAATATTTCGAGTCTAATTTAAATGTCAATTAACTTCAGAAACTATCTTCCATCATGTTTGTTAATAACGAACATTTGCAGCCAAGAGAAAACAGTTTCTAAATTTAGAATTTTTTCTAATTAAATATTTTCTTCCACTCTTTTAATTCTGTTGATTTTAGATTTACAATATTTATTCCTACTTAAATAATTTCCGTTAAGATGGAGTCCAAATTGAGATTTTATTAGTTATTTTGTCTGTAATGCCGAGTTATTGCTGTCACAACTAATCACTATCATACATTAATTGCATCAAAAATTCTATATAACTCTCATTAACTTGGCTAAAACTTTATTATACACTTATCACTAACCACACTACTGTTACTACTACCGCCATCACCGTCGATATTCTACCAAATTGCTTGTTATAATACAATTGTAAAATCATCATCACTATCAGATCATTATGACGCATCATCATCAGCACCACTATGCTCAAAGTAGGTTCTTATTGGTACAGTACCGTATTATCTGTACTTCACGTAATACGATAAGATGACTCCATCATTATACAATACTACGTTCTTTCTACATTACTTCTCGACCTCATCATTCATCATTACCACTTCATTATCTTGGTTATTGTGATTTATGCCCTTCCGAAATTAATTTTATCGTTATCATCATCGCCATCACAATATTGCGAATGAGATTATATGCATTAACCACTCCTCATAGATATAAATTGCTCCCACATCTCATGATGATTCGCAGCATCACGATAAGCTTCACTGCAACATCATTTCTTCACTCCACAAAGATACTACTGTATAAACTAATTTTATTCAATCGATATCGTCATCACGGCTAAGATTTCACAACTGTCGAGATTCTGCCATCTTCCACCCTCCTATTAATTTTTTAAATTTGTTTATAAAAGTGTCAAGATGAATTACTCCGAGGCGACTTTTACTCTTGGCATTAAACGAACTATAAATTGTCTAAATTCCATTTTAGTATTGCTCTTGATTACTCAATTGGGGGCCATATCTCACGCGGTTAAACACCAAGATCTCAATTTCCGTTTACTCTCCATTATTAATCCTCCCATCTTCTTTTTTTTCTAGCCAAACATAACGTAAATGCAGCATTTACGTGACGTCAAGATCCTTCTTCTGACGATGGATGGAGCAGACGTTTTCATTATCTTACTTTTCGCTGTTGTGACCTATTCCTGTAATCTTTCTGAATATTCTTGTGATAATGGTAATTGTATCGCCTTAAATAAATATTGTGATGGTACACACGACTGCGAAGATAAAAGCGACGAGCCCAACTCCTGTTCAAGTAAGTTGCTTTATCCTCTTTGCATTAAAAAACTAATGATTCAATTCGAATTTTATAGACATTTTTAATTAATTTACCTGTTTTCTTAATGATTCCTTCAGTTATTTTTTCACTAAAACCAATCGTGTTGCGTGTAAGAAGGTCGTTAAGGCACGAGTCATTTCGCATGTCAAACAGGGTACCATTGAGAGTATTTAATATTGAATAGTGTATTTTTTCATAATATCTATGCAAAATCTTGTATAAATCTGGTATAATAAGTATTACGTGCAGTAATATAGCTTAGATTTTATGCATCATAGGACAAAATTGATTTATTTTTCTAGTATCCTTGAAACTGGTGTATACAACAATACTAACTTCCTTCTATTTAAGTCAATTTTACAGTTAAAAATTCCTGTATGTAATTAGTTAAACAACATGCATCTTACCTCTACATTATTAATTAGAGCATACAGGCATTGAAGAATCGGTGTTTAAAATATTAAACGTAGTGTTAACGTATTAGACTTAAACAAAATAATTCTAATAAATTTCTTTCATTTATTCTACTTAGAGTAGATGAAAGAAATTTATAGTGATATAAAGAAATTTGTGCAGAAATTTCTTTATACCACTTTCCTAAAGGAAATTACAACAACAAATAGGACAATTAACTTTGTTTTCATCGTTAAAAGCTCCCAGGTGTTCAACTAACTGTAATTTACTTTATAAAAGAAACAAAATACTTAGTCTCAGATATTCTTTGCCTCTTTTTTTTCTTGGCTTTTTATGACCTTCAACAGCCAACAACTTCAATTCTATTCTCAAACTTTCTTAAAATTTAAACAAACTTTTGTATTTTTTGTATTAATTATGTTAAAAAATCCTTAATACTTAATGTTTTGTAAAAGAATTTTTTTAATGTTTACTAATTAAAAAATTATTTTCTTAAAGATGTTATGTTGTTATACCTTACACATAACATAAACTGAAATTTAATTGCATTTTTTGGAATTTTTCGGGTCTTACTGCTAAAATAAGGCCTCAAAATTAACTACCAATTTGACAATTTATCAACGAGTTCATTAACCTAAATTTTAAAACCTGAATTATCAGTGTAAAATTGCAAGTGAATTAAATAAACAAAATTTTATTTATTACATTATTACAGTTATAACACAATTTTAGATTTACCTGCTGTAGCAGCATGTAAATCTGAAGATAAATCTTTAACAGTAAAGTGTAATAGTATTGTTTAACCGGGGCTTTCTAAAGGATAATTTAGTACAGGGAGCAAAATACATATTGTGGGTCTTAGAGCATATTAAATTATAATATTAAAGGAAAACATTACTACTTCCTTGGGACTAAGAGCAATTTGGTTCTCTTGCTCCCCTCTGGGCGCTCAATCGGTTAAGTTAGAAACATTACTCTATACTAATTTTAGATAAATCATCTAAAAGTTAACAATACACTGTCGAAACGAGTATATAAATCTTCAAATTATCAAATATTACATAAAGCTGCATAAATTTTGCAACATTTGATTCCATTACATCGCTATGTTTCATCTCAATTTAATTATCTTACAGTTATAACTTGCAGTTTGAGGAAAACGACTATTTTAAAATTCAAAATTGACCAATAAGAGAAGAAATACTATTTCAAAATTCAAATTTAATCAATGAGAGATGAAAGACGATTTTAAAATTTATTATTAACCAATAAGAGTAAAATTTTTAAATCGTCTATCATAACTAATGATCAGCAATGCAACAACTTACGAAGGACATACAACATACAAATTTTCACGTGTTTAAACTGTCACGTGGTCGTTTTCTCACTTCAGTTTCTTAATTCTGAGCGATAAATTGGATATCGCTGTATTCTACTATAATTACAACACAAATTTCAAAAAGAATTGTTTAAAAATTGACTTTCCCGTAAAATCAGGACCACGAATAAACGTGCCAAGTTAGTAAGAGCAGGAAAATTCACCGAAAAAAAAAAGCAGAAAGCGGTCATATCCATAGTTACTGACTGTCATTTTGTAGTGCCTATCATAAAAATATTCTAAAAAATCTACTCATAATTGGAGACATCTCTATCAAATATTTATTTCTAACTCTTATCTTTGGGAATATTTTAACCTATAAAAATTTATTTAATAGAGAAAAGGTGTAATAAAATCTACCTTTTTTATAGCAAACTTTAGTAATTTATTGGACACGCTATGCTACTAGCAATTCTATTCTGGATAAACCGATGGCATTAATTTTAATGCTGTCTTCGTAATAACCTGACATAGAAGGTATTAAACCTATGTAGCGTGCAATAATTTATGTATTGTGACGTAGTACAGTGCTATAAACTGTACAATATCTAAAATTCAATGATAAAAATATGAGATGGAGGGGTAAAAACAGATGGAACATCTCATTTAGTGGAGAAAATGATCCGAGGAAGTATGTAAAACTCGTCACATTTACTGTAAAATTATTCATTATCCATTTCCCAATTAGTCTCTTAATTAATAAGTTTTTTATAACCCTAAGTTTTTTTCATTTGGCAATTATTGTCTTAACTGTTAAAATCCTATTTAAATTAACCAATCAAACATGTGTTTATAACGAAGTAACAATAGGGAAAGAAAAGCTCGGATAGGAAATAGAGCATTTTTATTCATTAACCAATTAGAAAGAAAATTAAATTTTAAATTAACCAATCACAGAAAACAATTTTGAAATTTCAAACTAACTAATGAGGAACAACGACTATCTTAAATTCAATATTAACCAATTAGAAACGAAAAACGATTTAAAAATTTTAAACTGGCAAATAAGGAGCAACGACATTTTTAATATTAAAAATTAACCAATGAGATGAAATACGGTTTTAAAATTTCAAACTAACGAATGAGGCAGCAACTTTTTTAAAAATTCAAAATTGACCAATGAGAAGAAGAGGATTAGATTTTAAAATTTCAAATCGACCAATGAAAGGAAAGAAATGAGTTAAAAAGTTTTTTAATTTATTGATCAGAGAGGCAAGCTTTAGTAAAAAAAAGAATCGGTCATTTTTAATACATTTTAAATTTATTTTTGGCCAATTTAAATTCCCTTTCGAATACTAAAATAATAAGAAAACTGAAGAGGAAGATTTTTTCTACAACTTTTAATTGAATGATGAAAATTTAAATAGACCAATAAGCGATTTTAAATTTTCTACCTTTAATTGGAATTTTAAAAAAAAAGGTTCTCATTGCACAATTTTAAATTACAAACTTTTTTAAAAGTACTTAGTTGATTTTAAATTTTTAATAAGTAATAATATTCTTTATCTGCTACAAATTCACTCGTTTAAAATTTAGTCGACTCATTTAAAATTTTAAATTATAATCCAATAAAAGAAAAAAATATATAATAATAAATTTAAAATCGATTAGAATAAAATTTAAAAAGTCTTTCTAGCTTGATTTAAAAAATTTAAATCCTTCGATAAACTAATTAACCAGTAGAATTTAAATCTGATATCAGTTTTAAAATTCGGTTACTCTGATTGGTCAAATCAGATTTTGTTCGTTAAATTGAAATTTAAATAAACCAATCGGAGATCTTCGTTTTAAATATTTAAATTTAACCAGTAAAAGGAATGAATATTTTTAAAATCGACTAGAATATTAATATGAGAGGCTTTATCAAAGAAATGTCATCAGTATTAAAGGAGAAGAGAGTGCTTTTTTAAGTATACAAAAAAATTGAACATTAAGACATTAAAAACAATAAATATGGTGTATAAAAAATTGTTTTACTCCTCTTGATTTTACTTAAGATCTAAAAATAATCTTCAAACTTCACCATCGTTAATTAATCTGCTGTCATACGGGCCATCTGGTTTGTAATAACGGATTCGATATCTAACGTCAAGACAATGATGTCCAAAAAAATGTGAAGTAAATAGTTCTTTGACAAGGAAAAGATGATTTTCTTGTTACGATAATTAAATTTGTGTACATTTTTAGATAATTCAATTATGACACATACATAATTAGATCAATACAAATAAAAAAATAAACAAACAGAAATTGAAGGAGAGGGAGAAAAACATCATAAAGTGGAAAAAATAATGCATTTTCTTGTCACGAATTCTATGACATTTGTTACATTCTTCTAACCTGTCACGTTATTAACAGGTACGAAGTTTCCAGACAGGATAGTTTTCTATTTTTGAAGAAAAAATAACTAATATATTTTAAATAAGATGTAGTCTGCCTGCTATACCTTATTTAAAATATTATATTTATCTTTTCTTTAAAATAAAAAAAAATTGTGATATATTTATAAAATATTCATTGTTTTGAAAAAGAAAACGTGTTTTCCATTTAGATATGTTTCTTGGCTAAGTAAATTTCTGTAGTTTACTGACAGAACACTAGAGGAAAATATATTATTTTCTACAAACATTAAAGTATATTTAAAATCGTGAAAGATGAGATTTTTATAAGTATTATTTTATTTAGATGTCAAAATTCTCATAATATTGGAAAAATTTCAATTTCTCTTTCTTCGCTGTAATTGGTCAGTTTAAATTGAACGAATTTTCAAAATATCCAATAACAAATGAGAAATCGTTATAGAGCGTGTTTTTTAAACATATTTTTTAATTTTACCGCTTTTATTGGTCAGTTTTATTACCGGCTTTTGCCAATTAGTTGGCTTAAAATTATCTTAATACAAATGATCAATAGCATTGGGTTCATTTGAATTTACTGCTTCGTTATTAGTTTGAATCGATGTAATTTTACCACAGATGGTTTACAATAATTAGAATTTAATTTCTGTGCAAATATTCTAATTTGTCTATGCATTAATTTATGTTTGTTTATATTAAATATGTTAAATTGAATTTTTTCAGATTGTAATCGTACTTACTTTGGCATCGTTGGGCATAAGTATCCACTACGAATGACGGAACCATTTCAGAGACATCTTCCATATTTCTGCAGATTAACTTTTGTAGCAAATGGAGAAGAATTTGGAGATTTAGTGGAGATCAATTTCCTATCGTTTCAAGTTGGGACCTTTTTAATAGATAGGTAATATAATTTAACTAATAATTGCATCATTTATGAATATTAATGTCTTATTTCTCAATCAATGGCCATTATCTGATCAATAACATATAATTTAATCGATTATCGTTACTGTTTGTCTAATTGGATAGTTTAACTCATCTATAAATTAATAATAAAAATCTTTAACCTATAAAAAAAACGTTCTAAATAATACGTTAGCCAATAAAAGTTGATTATTTAGAATTTTTAATTGTGACTAACCAATAAGGAATGACTATTACATTAATGTTTTTTAAGTTATTTATTTTCATCGCATGCAGTCTTTCTTCGTGTATAAAATATAAAATAAAGTTTTTAATTAGTCTAAAAGCTGTTTCATGTTGTTAAATACTTTTAAACATACTTTTAGCAGATAAAAAAAAGTGTGTAGATAATTTAAAATCACAGGAAATCTCACTGATCCCACTCTTTTGTCTCTTTGTAGTAGCCATACGTCAAAATGCCAACAGGGGAACATGAAGTTAACAGAGAAACGTGCCACCCATCGAAAGAGGTCACAGTGGTCAGCAGAGAGACTACGAATGCCTTCATTAGCACGTGCAAGACCTAGAGAACACGAAAGGGAAAATCCGGAATTTGGTTATTTCTGTGGTAGCATGCCAACCAGGACATCTTTTTACAGCCAAGGCAATTACGTCAGTTTAGTTATAGCCATGCCAACCTTAGTGTCTGTTCATTCCTTTCTACCCAGTTTATATTTGACATATAAATTTTTAAAGTCGCCAAAAACAAACTTTAAGGATTACTTTGGAGATAAAATACCGGGCACGTACTGCCATTACACCTTAACTAATTGCCACGAAAGAAATTGTAAAATCGAATCACCCAACTACCCCGGTTTTTATTTACGTAATATTACTTGTAATTATTTAATTCACCAAGAAAAGACAGTAAGGGGACACATTGCCAGGATTATTGTCTCGCAAAAAAACGATTACAAAATTAATCTTTACAGTGGTTACACTGACACTGGAGGTTACACGTTGGCTACACTTACATCCGAATGTGCTGGGGATGTGATACGAATTTTAGATGGCCCATCTCCCGATATGCCAGTTCTAGCTCAGTTTTGTGGTTCCGGACAGCTTCCGGAAGTCATCTCTAGCGGTCCAGAAATGTTGGTGCAATTGATTAGTGCTCCATACCAAGTGTTGCATAATTCCAAGCTTCAGTTGGATGTAACTGTGAGATACGTAAGGAGCAGCGAATTGACTGCTAATTCTAGAGGTACGTGTTTGTTTCTGTTGGATGGTCATCGCAATCTCTCGGGTGTCATCTACAGCCCGCGTCATACGATGCCACCGAATACCACATGTTCTTATCATTTTCGAGGAGGTACGGCTTTCGATAGGGTTTGGCTCTACTTTCTCTCGTACTACGTACCCGATTTGCAGAATTGGTCCAATCGCGAAAGCTGTGACGTAACACAATTAGAAATATACGATCCATTCGTGACGTCGAGACGTTCCGCTAACAGTGACACTACCTTGATTGGACGCTATTGTGAAAAATCGTTCCCTCGTATGTGCCCCCATGCAGTGGATTATAACAGTTATATTCCCAGAAGGCCTTGTAACTTAACAGCAGAGAGCTATCTTTCCACGGGACCTGAACTAGTGGTTAAATATAAAACCTTCCAGAGCTTAGACTTCATGTCTCAAAAGAGCACCTTCCTGGCTCGATATGAATTTGTTAATACCATGCAGACTGGCTATCCAGTAAACAACAGTGCTTGTGATCGTAGATTTGTCAGTAGGATCCAACCAACAGGTAGCTTGGGTTCTCCGCTCAATGTTTTCTTATATGGAAGAGGAGGAACCAAGCATTTAAGGTGTAGGTATCAATTTAAAGGATTGCCAACGGAAAGGCTCGAAATAACACTTAAAAGAGTTAATTTGGGTCACTGCCATTCGTTTTTTGATAACGTAACGCTGCGTCACACTTGTGGCAATATTAAGGGGCGCCAAACTCATCTACTGGTCACAGAAATATGGCATAGCGTACACTTGGATGCTGGTTGTGTGTGCGGGCAGCATATGAACCCTCAACAGCCCGTAACAATAGAAACATTCGGCTCCGACGTCGAAGTTACACTGATTATCAACAACATGACACCGCTGGAAGATTTTAAAGATTTTTATTTTGAAGCCACCTACAAGTTCCTAGCTATAGAGCCATGTGGTGGTATTGTTAATGATACCAAGAGAGAATTGATGATAACAATAGGAAACGACGTGCCATTACCCAAAAGATGCCGCTGGTTAATTCAAGCTAGACCATTAAAGCACCTCTATCTGAAAGTCGGAGGGAGGAAAACAGAAACCGATTGCAACAATGGTAATCGCTACTTACTTTACTCGGGTGAATTGGCGCAATTACTAGCAACAGTCTGTGCCGAAACAGTAGACAATAGGACAACGTACGACTTGTTCTCACTCACGTGGACTAATAGCAGTAAAAAGACAAAAACTGACAAAATCGTGGTAGACATGATCGCTACCAGGCCAGGCACTTTCAGTGTTCAGTGGTTAGAGGTCACCAGACCATTTGTATACGGTGAATCAGGTGCAACCCTGCGCAATAAAGATTGTGTGTACGAGTGCCCTGAACTGAATGCCTGCATAAGTGCTGATTTATGGTGCGATGGCACCATACACTGCCCCTCCGGATCAGACGAAGTGCCTGAGGAATGTGCTCGTTTCCCAACTGTTTACGTCAGCGTAGGCGTGAGCATCGCTTTTATAGCTATTTTGGTGGTGACACTTGTACTGGCGCATAAGTGGTGTAGGTATAACAACATCAAAGGCCATCCCTCTTCTAGGGAGGAGATACAAATGTCTACAACTACACCAGGAACGAAGATGGGTGAACGACTAAGCGTTTAAAACAAACTCACCTTGTGCTCATTGTTGTGATTGATTCTACATCGCATTCAAGCTGCTCAAAAAAGAAAAATTTTTCTGTGTAGTGGATTTCTACCTGCACAAAAATACAAAATGTATACAGATATTGGTTTTTCTATTACGCGTCATTCTTTGTTTATTTTTTTCTCTTAAGTATGCTCTTGTTGAGTATCTCTGTATAAAATTTCTATGTGACTCATAATGGTTCTTTTGTGTATTTTTTATAAAATATAAATATGGCGTGACCGTTATTATCTTATTATCCCTATATTAAAAATAATAATAATAAAACTAATATCAAACGTCTAATTTTGACACACAAAAATATATTTTAAAATAATTATTTCAATATTATAAAAATGTTTAAGTATAATTTAAATATATTAATAAATATTTAATTCTAATTAAACTTTCGCGTAAAATTCGTAACCTATTTTTAATATTTCGTACGCAATTTTTTAAAACTAAAAATTAAAAAAAATATATACCGTCTCGATCATAATTATAAAAATACAATTAATTAAAAATATTAGAAATGAATTAATTTGATTATTCCAGTTTTTAAATCGACCAATTACGTTTTGTTATCAAGTTTCAAATGTTAAAAAAACGACATTCGTATATTATGCTCCAATCAAAAACGATGGGAGGAGCTCGACTCGTTAAAGTTTAAAAATTCAAAATACGTCACCGATATCGACTATTAAACGGCGAATGAAGTTGCTTTTAGGAAGTTAATGAATTTTTAAATAGTTTGAAAGATTTTCTACACAAAATTATACTTTCTAACATTTCGTAGACACATCCAACACGCGAAATCCTTGATCTTAGAGTTCGGAAAGTGACGAACTTGCCACCAGCATCGAAAAATATTTGAAAGTTTGTAAAGTAATTACCAGTTTTCGAATACCACGCATGCGTCCGACCGTAAATTTCTATTAAATTGCGATGTTTATGATACGACAGGAAAAATGTAGATGAGTACTAGAAGAGAAGGAATTTGAGCAATGTCTACGACTATTTGCTAAACGACTATCGTTTCTACAATTGCGGAATTTGATAATTTTCCTTATAAAATAAGCAAAATTTTACTAAATTATTAAACTCTGCAAATAGTTCTTTTATGGTTTCGTCTGATCTTTACAACAGTTAAAGCGAAAATGGAACGTCGTCAGAAATTCTCTTTGCAAAACTCGCCTCGACCGTGTTGATGCATAAGATTTGTTTTAAGTATCCTAGTCGTCATGTATCAAATGATCCTTTAAAATGCATCTTCTTCTGGTAAAGTTTACGTGTTACTTATACAAACAGGTTATATTAAATGCCTTCTACTTATATATTTTTAACTGCTTAAGATGTTTGTTCAAAGCTTTATACTTTTAAAAAGTCGCCATTTTTTTCAAAGTTTGAGAAATCGCAATTTTTTCGTTTATGATAATCTGTAACTTAGAGCATACGTAACGTATACATTCTACGTAACAACTTTTATAAATACAATCATAAAATTCATAAAAATCTGCGTTACATTCTTCATGTAAAATCATCCTTAAAGGTAGCTAGAGCTGAGGGTGAGGTTTGAAGAGTAACAGAATTATCTTTGAGAAATAGCTAAAAAAAGAAGTGGATTGAAGTCAAAAGCAATCTCATAACTTATTGGGCTGCAATTTGTAAAAATTATAGATCTATAAATTTCCATTGCCGCCCGTCCGTTTGATAGTCTGTCTGGCCTTTCTTAATCTCGTGAACGGTATTAGATAGACGAAAATCGAGACCAGATATGGAAAGCTTAGGAGAAGAAGGCTCCGACGATTAACTATACACGAACTTTCAATATATACCGGAAGTCACTTGATTTTAATTCAAATATTTCCCCCAGAATGGAATTACACAGATGACCGACAAGACTCTGTTGTTTTCAGGGAAAGTATGGTATACTGTACAGGGGCAAGACACTAATAATTTGGGATTCAGATCATATATTTTAAATTAAATAAATTAAAAAGATGATTTAAAATTTTGGTTGAGATATTCCAAATATATAACGAATTCTCTTAACGGATGTGCACTTTCTTTGTTAAGTGGTTGGACTAGAAGACGTGTTAAGCTGATTTAAATTTCTCATGACTAAATCGTATTATTTCATCTGTGTACTATAACACTTATAATGATTTATAGGTTATTAATGTAGATCTTCAATAATTACATGAAGTTGTAATGATATTTTATCACCTTATCTTTAATAAGTCAGCGTGTGTTGTTGCAAAAGCTTACGCAATCAATCCTTCAATATTCTCTGTTTGGACCACTGTATATATTAAATATATAAACATATTATTTTTTCAAATTTTAAATATATAAATATGAAATAGCTTCTATAATATAAGTTAAATAGAGTCATAAAGTACAGTACATGAAATATTACATTTTATATGCTAAAGTTTATATTTTTGTCCGCCATTTAATAGTTTCAAACAGACATTACTTAAAACTCGGGCTTTAAAGTAAGAATATAGATAAAAATAATATAATATATTACAAATATTCCCATTTTATCAATAAAAAATGGATAAAATAGCGTTTAAATAAATATAAATACGTGAAAATGCTTAATATAAGATCAGCATCTTATCATCTCTTCTCTAAGAATCTTCTTATCTCTTGCTCTTCACTACATGTCCAATATATTTAATGTATAAATCATAAATCATAAAACTTGCATTCCAAATAAAAATCACAAAAATTCGGCAACAGAAACTTTTATCAAATGATAAAGTGAACAGAAAATGATGCAACAGATGAGATTCATAGAAGAAGAAGCGTAATAAAAAGTTTTTTTTACAACAACAAAGTAAAATGAGGCAACAGATGAAAGTAAAAAATCACTAATGGGCTACGGCAGTGCCCGAAAAAAAAACAAGTAAAAGGAAAAAACTCTATGTTTAGAATGAGAGGAAGGTCTTGATTGAAAGCAAAAGAGGAGTGGAAAAGATATTGGAATTTGCTTTATTCATTTATTACTACCGATATTATATCTAGCTGATGGTCTCCTATACTTTTATTTTAGAACTGAGAAAAATATGTTTGGATATGAAGCCAGGATAGAGTTTGAGGTTTCGTATCAAGAATTGACAATAAAACAAAGTCCTGTACTTTTATCAGTCATAAAAGTTATCGAATGTCTCCAAGATGCTATAAATGTCTGGCAATAAACAAGTTTACTGAAGTATTCCAGCGGATGAGACTCTTGTAAAAAAAGCTGCGTGATTCTCACCATTTATATATATATATATATATATTTTCCCTTCCATCTGCGTAGAAACGTAGAAATTAAAGAAACCCCTACNAATCTGATATCAGTTTTAAAATTCGGTTACTCTGATTGGTCAAATCAGATTTTGTTCGTTAAATTGAAATTTAAATAAACCAATCGGAGATCTTCGTTTTAAATATTTAAATTTAACCAGTAAAAGGAATGAATATTTTTAAAATCGACTAGAATATTAATATGAGAGGCTTTATCAAAGAAATGTCATCAGTATTAAAGGAGAAGAGAGTGCTTTTTTAAGTATACAAAAAAATTGAACATTAAGACATTAAAAACAATAAATATGGTGTATAAAAAATTGTTTTACTCCTCTTGATTTTACTTAAGATCTAAAAATAATCTTCAAACTTCACCATCGTTAATTAATCTGCTGTCATACGGGCCATCTGGTTTGTAATAACGGATTCGATATCTAACGTCAAGACAATGATGTCCAAAAAAATGTGAAGTAAATAGTTCTTTGACAAGGAAAAGATGATTTTCTTGTTACGATAATTAAATTTGTGTACATTTTTAGATAATTCAATTATGACACATACATAATTAGATCAATACAAATAAAAAAATAAACAAACAGAAATTGAAGGAGAGGGAGAAAAACATCATAAAGTGGAAAAAATAATGCATTTTCTTGTCACGAATTCTATGACATTTGTTACATTCTTCTAACCTGTCACGTTATTAACAGGTACGAAGTTTCCAGACAGGATAGTTTTCTATTTTTGAAGAAAAAATAACTAATATATTTTAAATAAGATGTAGTCTGCCTGCTATACCTTATTTAAAATATTATATTTATCTTTTCTTTAAAATAAAAAAAAATTGTGATATATTTATAAAATATTCATTGTTTTGAAAAAGAAAACGTGTTTTCCATTTAGATATGTTTCTTGGCTAAGTAAATTTCTGTAGTTTACTGACAGAACACTAGAGGAAAATATATTATTTTCTACAAACATTAAAGTATATTTAAAATCGTGAAAGATGAGATTTTTATAAGTATTATTTTATTTAGATGTCAAAATTCTCATAATATTGGAAAAATTTCAATTTCTCTTTCTTCGCTGTAATTGGTCAGTTTAAATTGAACGAATTTTCAAAATATCCAATAACAAATGAGAAATCGTTATAGAGCGTGTTTTTTAAACATATTTTTTAATTTTACCGCTTTTATTGGTCAGTTTTATTACCGGCTTTTGCCAATTAGTTGGCTTAAAATTATCTTAATACAAATGATCAATAGCATTGGGTTCATTTGAATTTACTGCTTCGTTATTAGTTTGAATCGATGTAATTTTACCACAGATGGTTTACAATAATTAGAATTTAATTTCTGTGCAAATATTCTAATTTGTCTATGCATTAATTTATGTTTGTTTATATTAAATATGTTAAATTGAATTTTTTCAGATTGTAATCGTACTTACTTTGGCATCGTTGGGCATAAGTATCCACTACGAATGACGGAACCATTTCAGAGACATCTTCCATATTTCTGCAGATTAACTTTTGTAGCAAATGGAGAAGAATTTGGAGATTTAGTGGAGATCAATTTCCTATCGTTTCAAGTTGGGACCTTTTTAATAGATAGGTAATATAATTTAACTAATAATTGCATCATTTATGAATATTAATGTCTTATTTCTCAATCAATGGCCATTATCTGATCAATAACATATAATTTAATCGATTATCGTTACTGTTTGTCTAATTGGATAGTTTAACTCATCTATAAATTAATAATAAAAATCTTTAACCTATAAAAAAAACGTTCTAAATAATACGTTAGCCAATAAAAGTTGATTATTTAGAATTTTTAATTGTGACTAACCAATAAGGAATGACTATTACATTAATGTTTTTTAAGTTATTTATTTTCATCGCATGCAGTCTTTCTTCGTGTATAAAATATAAAATAAAGTTTTTAATTAGTCT